CTTTGCACACATCATTCTAGACTCAATTCAGTACGATACGCCAAATTTCGTGCAAATCGAATGATATATATGGACATTGGTGCAGCATTTACATTAAATCGGACGAAAATATATATGGGAGCTATATCTTAATGTGAACCGATTTTCACGAAACTTTGCACAAATCATTCTAGACTTAATTCAATACGCTGTGCCAAATTTCGTGCAAATAGAATGGTATATATAGGGACATTGGTGCACCATTTACTGAAAATCGGACGAATCTATATATGGGAGCTATATCTAAATCTGAACCGATTTTTCCCAATTTCAATAGGGTTCGTCCTTGGGCCAAATAAGCGCCCTGTACCAACTTTCATCCAATTCGGATCATAAATGCGACCTGTACTTTGTTTACAATTTAACATGGACAGACAGACGGACGGACATGCATAAATCGACTTAGAAAGGAACCCTGTGTCTATCTCGTTTCCTTTTGCCTGTTACAAACATATGCACAAAGACATAATACCCTGTACCACAGTGTGGTGAAGGGTATAAAAATCAGTCCATGAATAATATACAAAAAATTTATCTTAAAAAGTCTAAGACTGTCCCCAAAAATTTTTTAATAAACACTTCGACAATTTCTGAAAATGATATTAAAAAAGAAATATCCGTTCTGATAATCTGTAAAAATTTTTTTTTAAAATGATTATTCTTAATTATTTTTTTTCCAAGTTTTAAAAGTGTTTCCTCTGCAGTGGCGCCATCTCTTATTTCTTATGATAAAATGCATAACTTCGTAGCATGGACTTTTATCATTCTATGTTTTTGAAAACACATATAGTTTGTTATAATATCAATAGATGTCGCTGTTCGAAAACATTGCGACTAACGAGTTCGCCGTATATTTTACACTCAAAGTTGGGCAGCCTTGCATACCAGCGTTAATTGGTTATCTTAACATTTTTTGAAGTTAAAACAAAAACAAATATTAATGATAAATTGTCCTTATTTTATTAATAAATTTATTTTTTACACTTCCTGGGATGTTATTTATGTTTTAAAAATATTAAATTCCGCAGAATAATTCTTAACAATTTGTTTAAGAGAAATCTTGCCTATTATTGTTTTAAACTGAATATTTATTAACGAAAAAGTGAAATAAATGATTTTTATATTTTTTTATATCATCATATTTGTCCATATTTTCTGGAAATTTTTAATAATATTATAATACTAACATTACTTAGTGTAAACGCTATATTAATCAATTCTATCAAACGTAGTTATCATGTTGTTCAATTAAATCTCTTTCATTAGCTCCAATGGCATATGCGTTAAATAGCTCTCTCTCTTTTGCTCTCATCAAAAATGTCACATTTGCATGTCGTTATTTGTTCTTTATCCTTCCAGTGATCGGTTGTAATTAATTAAATAATGCTATAACTGTTAAATACAAAGACAAAATTTGTAATAAATTCAGTGTGTAAAATGGAAGTAAAACCAGCAAAAAAATTAATGTATTAAAATAGTTGAATTACCATTGGCCATGGCACATGAGATTGCATGCTTCCCGTTATGAGAAGAGATTTACTTTACTCCAATAACAATTGACATAACCTAAACTCCCTCTCTTGCTGGCATTTTTGTCATTAGTTCTTTCGTGATCTTTGCAATCGTCGGTAGCAATGAAATATGGTCATGAAATATGGTCAAATATATTAAAAAGAGTTGTTATTTTGTAATAAAACAATAAAATAAATGCAATTAAATAAATGTGTGAGAAAAATTAAAGTGAAGTTAATAAATAAGTCAAATCTTATAATAATATGCTGCCATTGAACTTCTTTGACACAATTGACACAATTAAAATGCTCATTCACTCTCTTGCTCTCATTGAATTTCCATTTGACATTTTTACCATTAGTTCTTTCGTACTCTTTGCAATGATCGGTAGCAATTAATGAAATACGACCAAAAATAATAAGAAGTGTTATTGCTTCGTGATAAAATATGAAGACAATGAAATGTGTGATAAATTGTGTGCGAAAAGTGGAAGTGAAGTAAATAAATAAACCATTTCTATGAATAGTTTGCAATCGTTGGCTTCTCGTGTGTGTTCAAGTGTTGTCTTCTTTGTTGTTTAGTTGGCCGTGATTACATTGCATTACGGTAAAAGTGTTTTGTTTGGGTTTTCGGTTTGTTGTTACAAATACAAATATCCCAGTGATTTATGCATTCAAATATGGAATATATGCAAAGATTGTTATATTTAAAATTAATCAACATAGAAAAATGGTGAGTTTTCTTAATATTTATTTTATATAAAATATTATTTATAGAAATAATTTCCACTTTTATAAATACTTAAAAAAATAAACTCTTCTTGCAAAAATATTTTCGATTGAAATGTCAATGTTTTACACATATTATTTATATTAAGGTCCCGACTTATTTTTAAACTAGTCGCATTAATAATATCCTTGGGGGCTATTTACAATGCAAGTTGTTTAAATAAAGATCGCTTTATATTTAGGAGATGCAATGGACCAAATACTTAATTTTTGTCGGTTTTTCTGGTCGCTCCAGACGCCGCAATTATAGCCCGAACAACGCGAAATTTTACATGGAGAAGGGAATCGAGCTAAAGAATAAGCATGCCTGTTTTGATAAATATCGGTCAATGTTTAGCGGGTATTTTGCTACAGTTATGGAGCAATCTTCACGAAATTTTGAATGTAGGATGGATTCTGGATGAGGATGAAATGGATCAATAGGGGATGAAATAGATCAACATCTTTATTTTTGTCTGATTTTCTGATCGTTTCAGAGGCCGCAATTATGCCCCAAACATCGCGAATTTTTACAAGGAGAAGGGGATTGGAATAAGCATGCCTGTTTTGATAAAGATCAATTTATAGTTAGCAGGTCAAATGGACCCTGACTTTTGTGTGAAAAATGACAAAATTTGTATTCTATAGCGTATATATTTACTCCTGAAGGACATAGAACCGATAGTATATCCAAGAGGAGTTGTTGGCCTTTAAATTGATACCAATTATATTGACGTATGTACTCGGATGTGGGAGTTACACGTACATATGTTCAGGTGCTTACGTATTCAGATATTATTTAGCAAAACATTACCACACTGGAGGGCGGAAATATAGCGCTGATCGATTTGAAATTTTTCATGAGGTTCCAGTTATGGTCAAGGACAACGCCTACAAATTACGATGATGATCAGATAATAATTTTGAGATGAAGTGGATCAGAAACTTAATTTTTTGTGTTTTTTCGAGTCGATATATAAGGCGAACATCACAACACAACCCTCTGTGAAGGGAATCTGGAATATTTGTTGACCTCTAGTCGGTTAAGAGGGTTAAAACATCGCGAAATATTGCCCAAGCTAGATTTTCGTGGAAGTTGTGTAGGGTATCCTATGGTTGGCCCCGTCCAACTTTACTGCTCCGCTCACTGGTTTTTTTATTATAAATTTTGAACGTGAGAGACCTCCACTCCAACTGTTCTAAGCATTGTTTTTTTCAGGTAATTTTCGGAAACATTTTGACATATATTGGGCGGCATATCAGCCATAAATATGCAAATGTTTGGGTTTTCACGTAGCGCCAATCTAATGTCCAAACTAGAGTCATATCACAGTTTATATCGCCAGAAATTCAGCGACCGGAAAATGTCTCTTGCAATAAAGGCATATTCGCTCAAGTTTTGTGACATGTGGCTCCTTATAATTGAAATTTTTGTGCGTTGTAAGATAGTTAGGCGATCCATTTTCTTTTAATTCGTGCTATATAATATCTTTATAGAATGTTTATTGTTTCACATGTTATTTTTTGTTTTCATTCCTTTCGAAACATGCTATATTTAAGAATTATTCCTAGAATTATGTGTATTTATCTATTAGTTCAATTTGCATATTCTGTGCAATATCATCAATATTATCCCCAATATTATCAGCAAATATTGACATTTTATAAAACACTTAGCTTTAATTTACTCCATTCAGAAATTGACCTAATAAACTCACACTAGCCGCATTGCTCTCTGCAAATTTCTATTTGGCAATTTATAAACTATAATTGAAACACACATTTTTTATTTGTTATATTTATTAATATTATTACACTTATATTTTTGTTGTTATTTACATTAGATTATTAAATAACTAGTTTACATACGTACAAACATTGATATAATTAGCCTTACATATATATTTTATGTTGATATAGATTACGGGGTAAATAATACAATATATAAACATTATAGATAATTTAACAATTATTTAATAAATCTTAAAAACGAACACTATTGAATATTAAGTTGGTGGTTAAATTAGTGTACAATTAGTATAAAAACATAATAATTGAGTTTACCGATATAATTTTTGCAAATATGACTATTGAGATGTGGGGGCAATAAAGAGGTGTCAGATGTTGCAGGGATTACGTTCACTACCCTCCTACGTTTACATCAAAGGCGTGTTTTCATAATTTTAATTCAATTTAAATATGTTTTCGTTATTTCAATTTAAATTTGGAATCTAATATCCGGACACTCTCATTGGCCCTCCAAATATGCAGAGTAATTCAAGGTGGAGCAGAAGGGAGAATAACATTTTCGATTAGGTTTGTTTGTGTTACAACAAATAGATAAATTATTTATGGCATTTTTTGTTTCGTATTACATCATTGTAATGAATTAATCCCTTTATTTTTTAGTCATTATTATTAATGTAATATAATTGAAATTAGTTAATTTCTATTATAACAATATTCATACATATTTATATATACGAGTATATAAAATTATTATATATTATATAAAAATGTTTTTTTTTTTATTTTTATTGTCAGCTAAACATACGAACTTTGCAAGTTACTTGCTGCAGCAGGTACGTTGTTGTTAGAATACAAATTAAAGTGTTTGTTTGGACTTGGTTTTCGATTATTTCTTTTTTTCTGTTTGTCCGCTGAGGTTGTCGTGCCTTCGTGCGTGTTTACTACTAATAACGATTACTTTCTCTATCGGAATATTTGCCACTCATTTTACCAACCGAATAACGATCCGAGTAGGCATCATATTTATCCGCCTTATAATTGATTTCTTGTGGTGTATAACCGATATTCTTTTGCCAGTGTCGGGTCCAATAGAGATCTTCGTTGCGTACCTGTGATGGTGTTTTGGCATCTCGACACACATACACACAATAGACCATACAACCGATAAGCGTTAAGAAACCGAAAATTAGGAAAATTATACCAAGGATCCTGAAAAAAAAACAAAAATTACATTAATAATATTTCAAGCAAACTAACTATAACTATACTATATAAATAAATTGGGTGATTTAGTAGTTTCAGTACACGTTCAAATATTCATATTAATAAAGATCACTTTGTCTTAAATACAAAAAACTCAACAATGTAAACATGGCATTATCAGAACAGTTTTTATTTGTTATGCCATGTTCTGACGGGCATTCGAAGAACGTAGTTCGCTCTCTAATTACGTACATGAATTAACCTGTTCATACAACACTATTCTTAATTCATGTCATCAGAGTTTTTTATTTCAAACCTTTTGTTTCTTGTTTTACACCAAAATTGTAACATATTTGCATGAATCACATATGGATCTAAATAGAAAAAATAATTCTCTTTCTCCTGACTATAATGTCAACCCCTATCTCTTTGCTTTTAATTAATTTTGCATTATGTAGACAACAAAATTTACATCCTTCTGCATATATAAAAACTAGAATTTTGGTTACTTTTGATTCATCATTTTCAATTTTACTGAAAAAGTTTGAAACATTTAAAAATTTTTTCATGCTGTCAAAATTAATTTATTTTCGATAAATTCTCTCAATTGTTAGAGATGGGACAAAATTCTTCGTGATTCAGAGAGTGATTCGAATTGAACAACGTACAAAAGTCGGTGTTCGCTCAGACAATTTTGTATGGGGAACTATGTAATTACTTCATAATTAAGGGTCGAATAACGAATGAGAGAGCGAACAACGCTCGTCATTACATTAATTTCAACAATTAAATAATAATAATAATAATTCCGTTCCAGAACCAGAATCTACAAAATGGCGTTCTCTTTGTAAAATTTTTACTCGAGAAATTTGACCGAGTAAAAATGGTAAACAGGAATGCCTACCAAAGACATAAAAGTATAAAGATACGACAATCGATACGTCAACAATTTCCAATAGATGGCTTTTCCTCTGTTGTTACGATATCATAACAACATAGCAAACAATATTAATCGTTTTAAACGCTATATCGCAAGCTTATAAAATAAAAATATATTTTTTGAGTACAGATCTCTAATTTTATTTACATTTTATACACACATTATCGCGTATTTGCGTTTTTATTGTTAACATGTCTCTGTTATGCATGATTCCCCCTGGATATTTTTTCATAAACTATTTTGTCGAAATGCATTTTGTCAAGTCTTTACGGTTATTATATGTCTTTGTGCCTACTTCTGTTTGGTTGTTATATTGATTTTGAAGTATTGCCATCTAATTTTGGCATATTTACTATGGTCAAACAAATCTGTGATAAATTCGGGCTGTAAAATGCAGAGCAAGCCATACAAATGACAATTTATATTTGCCGTAACGAGAACAGCTTTAATTTACAACAATATCAATGACCTAATGAAACAGACGAATAGCTCTCTCTTGCTCTCAATACATTTCTATTTGACATTTTTGTCATTAGTCGCGTTCTTTGCAATGATCGGGAGAAATTGCCATATTGCCATAAGTATATAAAGTTTTATATACTTTTAATAAAAAAAGAAATATAGTTAATAAATAAGCCATATCTTTAAAAAGTTTGTTATGGTTGGCTCAACGTGTGTATTTTAGTGTTGTTGTTTAGTTCAGAGAGTTTATTGTCGAAATGAAAAGAGCTTAAATATTCGCCAATTAGAACATACGTAATTTGAACTCTCACTCCCTCACTTGCTCTCATATTATTTCCATTTGACATGTTGTGTCATTAGTTATTTCGTGTTCTTTGCAATCATTGGCCACAATTTATCACACATTGTTAAGCAAATGTGTGATAAATTGTGTGTGAAAATTGGTAGTTATGTAAATAAATAAACCATTTCTATGAATAGTTTGCAATCGTTGACCTCTCGTGTAAGATCAAGTGTTGTCTTCTTTGTTGTTTATTTGGCCGTGTTTACATTATATGACGGCAAATGCATTGCTTGTGTATTCCATTTTGTTGTTACAAATAACCCAGTAAACTATTATGGGTTAGAGAAAACATAAAAGCAAAACTTTAAACAAATATTGAACATTTGCAAAGATGTTTATAAATAAATTAAATGAACCTAAAAATATGGTGAGTTTTATTTTTAATATTTTACATAAAATATGATTTATAGGAATAATTTCAAAATTTATAAAAACATATTTCAAAAGAATAAGTAAAAGAAAATTTAGTAGTGAATGCTAAAATATAGACACCGTAAAGGAATTGTTAATTCTTGCAAAAATACAGGGCTATCCATTTCGTGGCTTCAAAAGTAAATGTAAATTAAGGGAACCCCCCCACCCCCATTCACGATTTTACTTTTTCAAGATTTTCAATGGGCTGGTAAATCAATGCCAATGCTTGTTAAGGTTTGTAACTTGGCACATATATAATTGAAGATTTAAAAGAGAAGAAAAATAATTTACAACAAATTTTTGTTATTGTTTTGTTGTAGTTTTTTGTAATTAAAAAAAGTCCTTATTTTTGTCCGAAAATTCCAACGGTGTTAGAAAGAGTACATGTCTGGCTCTCGTATGAACTAGGATTATTGACTTCGCTCTAAAATTAGCAAAATGGCGGACCTTTGAAAAAAAATATTTGCGAAAAATCGCCGATTTTTCACCCAAAACCAAGTTACAGAAATAAGGAAGACCTTCACCGATTGGCTTTATCCTAGTTCATACGATAGCTATACACTCACAGAGAAACGTGTAAAAATTTGAAATCGATTGGGTTATTAGTTTTTGAGTTATCGGCCGTGCCCGCCATACACAAAAACATGTTTAGAGAAAAAACGCGTTTCAAGTTTGAGAAGCCCTTCAGTCGTCACCTGATGCTGACGCAATAAATCGGCTATATCTTCAAGAGTTCTTGAGATTTTCACTTGAAATTTTGTAGGGACATTTATTAATTAGTGTGGATTCGAATTATATCAACAAAATGTTTGACCCCGAGAATTGGGGGGGTCCCTTAAACCAATGTAAATCATGATATATATTTTTGTACCCTCCACCATAGTATGGCGGGTATATTAAATTCCGTTTGTAACTCATCGAAATATTCATTCATTTCATTATGACCATATAAAGTATATATATTCTTGATCAGGGTAAAATTCTAAGACGATCTAGCCATGTCCGTCGGTCCGTCTGTTGTAATCACGCTATCTTCTGAGATAGGGTGCTGAAATTTTGAATATTTTTTTTAATATTCGCCCCCTTTTTGAGGTCGTCCCCATATAACCCCCATTTTTATACCCTTCACCACACTGTGGTACAGGGTATTATGTCTTTGTGCATATGTTTGTAACATGCAAAAGCAGTCGAGATAGACCCATGGTTCCTTTTGAGAATATCCATAGAATCACTTTCTGAGTCGATTTACGCATGTCCGTCCGTCCATGTATTTTTGTGAACAAAGTACAGGTCGCATTTATGATCCGATTTGGGTGAAATTTGGCATAGGCCACTTATTTGTCCCAAGGACGAACCCTATTGAAATTGTGAAAAATCGGTTTAGATTTAGATATAGCTCCCATATATATTTTCGTCCCATTTAATGTAAATGGTGCACCAAAGCCCCTATATCTCTCTCGATTTACACAAAATTTGGCACAGCGTAATGAATTAGGTGTAGAATGATGTGTGTTAAGTTTCCTGAAAATCGGTTCAGATTTAGATATATATTTTTGTCCGATTTAATGTATTTGGTGCACCAAAGTCCCTATATATCTTTCGATTTGCACGCAATTTGGCACAGCGCAATTGTTTAGGTTTAGAATGATGTGTGTTAAGTTTCGCGAAAATCGATCCAGATTTAGATATAGCTCCCATATATATTTTCGTCCGATTTAATGTATATGGTTCACCAAAGTCCCTATATATCTTTCGATTTGCACGAAATTTGGCACAGCGCAATTATTTAGGTTTAGAATGATGTGTGTTAAGTTTCGCGAAAATCGAATCGGTTGCAGAATCACATGTTTATTGATCCAATTTCATTTTACTGGTCCTTTAAAAATGCGACGTCTGTTAGGATTCATCTGTTGAATATACCAAAAGTAGAGTCTGCCCCGTCCGACTGTACCTCATTCGGTACGCTATGCAAAATTTTTTCTCTATCAGACTATCATTGTGACTTGGGTGAACTATTGTGGAATCCGAAAAATCTATATATGAGAGCTTTTTCTAAATCTGAGCCGATTTTCTCCAATTTTAATAGGGTTCGTTGTTGTTGTAGTACAAAGATCCACTTTTCTTCTTAAGCTGAATTTCTCATATTCCCAATATGATGTGTAGCTTTTAATTTTTTTATATTTCTCTTTTTGTTTTGGTTCCACTTACCAGACATAAAGCGGTTCATAGAATTGCACCACAATGACAAAGCCCAACGTCACCAAGATAAGACCCAAATTCAGCAGCAACATTAGACAGCAGACACCCTTGACATTTGGACAAAATGGATTGGGTGCTGACATTGTTTCGATTTTGGCTCCACGTTTTGTAGTGCTACGAGCACTACGACCCGTTTTGGCAGTACTGGCAACAGAGTAAACACTACGCGGTGCTCTCGACGGTGGTCGATGGCTGTAGCGGCTGTGGAGAACAGAAATAAAAAAATGACAATTCATTCTACTGGAAAAATATACTAAAATATCTACCTTATTTCCGATGGTGCCTTATAGGCAGCACTGGTCACATAAATATCACTACCCGTATCGCCACCATTGTGATCATAGCTTAAGGCAGATGGTGCTCTTGGTGGCAGTCGTGTTGGTGGTGGACCACTCAGTGAGCGTGGACCACCACTATCGACCACCGATGTTGAGTAGTGACCATTCGAGTGGCCATTATTAATGCGGGTTTTACGCGACGAATGATAATGACCCTGTGGTGAGGTACGTTCATGTGCTATTGTATATTCGGACATGGTACGTTCCGATGGAGCACGATGTGATTCTTCGCCATCGGTTGAATAGCCGCGATTCGAGTGAACATAAGGTGGATCGGGCGTTGACCGACCATGTGTGGCAACATAGTGACCACCTTTGATTCTGCAAAAAGGAGAATTATTTTAATAGGGAATATGTTTTTTTATCAGGTGAGGCACTTACTTTTTTACACGTCTTTCATGCATAATTTTGGATTAGGGTTTTTTTTTTGCAAAATTTTCTGGGGTTATAAAACGTGAGCTTGATTGTTGATATGGTTGGGATTATCAAAATTGTATTCAAATTTTCCTTAAAAGAAAATTATTTTGCTTGGTGACGTTTGTTGGGGAGTCTAGGCTTTCATTCTTTAAAGAAATCTGAAAAAAGGAAGATATATGGAAAATTAGTAAGGATATCTTCTTAATGTTTAAGTAATGTATAAACAAGTTAATGGAATAATAACTTGTAAAAAATATAAGTGTTGTTGGACCCTTGAGATTCATTCTTATCTACCATGATTGCTTCCTTTTCATCTTTGACTACATCATTCGTCAAAGTTGATAAATCGATTTTATTCAATGCTATTTTTAGTATTTAAAGATTTTTATGGATTTTCAAACCTACTCATTTCTTGCCAAATTCTCTCTATGGCACTTTAGTGTATTGTAAGAATAGCAAACACATACAAAACTCTCAAAGGTCACATTCATATTCAACTCATATCCGCAGTACACCAAACAAACAGGCAGAACAAAAATAAATACCAAACAAGGGTATCAAGTGGAAACTACAGGAAATTTCATAGGTAATCCAACATCTCTCCAGGTAATGCGGAAGAAGAGGAAGTGTTCCGAACACTCCAAATGTGACAATAAAGCTGTCGGAGCACAAATATAAATAAACTATTTGACAGTTAGGTGTGAATGTGGTATGTGGGGTGAGAGAACAGGAGTGACACAACTAAAATGTAGGAGTTTCCTTGGCGAACCTGTGCCCGTTGTCCCATGTCAATGAATTCCTAAATGACATTGTCGTTAGAAGATTTTGTTTTCAAGTTTAGTTTGTATTTGGATTGAAGTCTATATTTGAATTTTCAGTGTTTTCATTTATTTTTAGCAAGGATTTTCAATTTGAAATATGATTTCGGGCTGTCTTTTGTTTTTTATTACTTTTTTTTACCTTCCATCATAGTATGGAGGGTATATTAATTTTGTCATTTTGTTTGTAACTCAGCGAAATATTAATTTCCGACCCTTGATCAGGGTAAAATTCTAAGACGATCTAGCCATGTCCGTCCGTCTATTGTAATCACGCTATCTTCCGAAGGAATTTAGATAGGGCGCTGAAATTTTGCATACGGTTGTCTTTTGTCTGAAGGCAGGTCAAGTTCGAAGATGGGATATATCGGTCCACGTTTAGGCATAGCTCCCATATAAGGGTACCCCAAATTTTCGGTATTTTGGGGTTCTTGAGCGCGTTTTTCAACCGAATTCGCTGAAATTTGGTACTTTGGGTTATTGAAAATTATAAATATAGGCCCACTTTTTCTGGTAGCCCCCATATAACGGTACCTCCTAATTTTCAGTATTTTGGTGGTTTTGGTCGTATTTTTCCACCGAATTGGTTGTAATTTAGTACTTTGAGTTCTAAACAGGTTCCAAATCACTCCACAAAAAATTATGAATATAGGTCCATTTTTTCTGGTAGCTCCCATATAAGGATACCCCCAAATTTCCGTATTTTAGGGTTCTTGAGCGCGTTTTTCAACCGAATTCGCTGAAATTTGGTATATTGGGTTCTTATTGGGTACCAAATATCTCCACTGAAAATTATAAATATAAGTCCATTTTTTCTGGTAGGCTCCATATAAAGGTACCCCCAAATTTCGGCATTTAGAGGTTCTTGAGCGCGTTTTTCAACCGAATTCGCTGAAATTTGGTATATTGGGTTCTTATTGGGTACCAAATATCTCCACTGAAATTTCGGCATTTAGAGGTTCTTGAGCGCGTTTTTCAACTGAAATCACTGAAATTTGGTATTTTGTAGGCGTATATGGAAACAAATCTCCCTACCAAAAATTATTAATAGTCAACCCTTTTTAGGCGTAGTCCCCATATAACCCCATTTTTTATATTAATATAATTATCTGATTTTTCCGCGTTTTGGGATTGGTTCTAACACTCTGTTGTAATCATTTCACCTGCGAAGGATATCGAGATAAACAACTAGAACGTACAGTTCGATAATGAACTATATGTGAACTATAGACCGCATTTAGGCTTAGCCGTAGCCCCTGTGTGGGAGGTACCAGAAGGCATGGACCGATATTCCCCAAATTCGGACTTGAACTAAGTTTGGACGACATAATAAGATGGGATGAAATCAAATTTTTCTGAAACGGATTTGGTCCCAAGAAACATGGGGTCTAGAACCAATATTTCGATGAGGCACATTTTCGCCGTGTGAAAGTGTATATTAGCCATAAGGCTGATGGTATAATTTTCTATTAAAAATTATTTTTACATCATCGGATTGTAGAAATGTTGGTATAGGTCCATTTTTTGGTATGTTCCCTATATTTTCATTTCAAGTACCTGTCAGTATATTTATGGTGGAGGGTATCCAAAGTTCGGCCCGGCCGAACTTAACGCTTTTTCACTTGTTAGTATCTACTGTTGGACAAACAGGAGTAGTATGATGAATTGCATGGGGATAGGAACCTGTAGGGTAGGGGCCGGGATTAGATAATGATTAACTAGTATCGATTTGTACTTATGTAAACACTTCTTGAAGTTCGATCGGGTATTAATTATATATATCTAAACCCGGCCAGAACCTTATATAGATACTACGTTATTGTACTTACTATATCTAATGAGAAAACCAAATTACAAACACTCAGATTTGAACCCCTATCTAAAATAGAATGTGAACATCAATGAAATACCTAAATTTAGAGGTATGCCAATTACCCTCCACCTGAAATATCAAATTACAGCACCTACTGTTCGGTGTTCGTATAGAAATATCACATCTCAGTCCCTCAGAATTTTGTTCAGCATGCAAATTGAACTTTAGTTGCCAAGGTTTTTATACTTTTCAGAGTGGACCACTATGCGTATGAGCACTGACAACAATCATACCAGGGATGGTCCGTATGATGAATTCTAAGGTTTTCGACTATGAAAAAGGTGTAAACGTCGAAAACATCATATACCTGTATAAAATGTAGTAAACGTCATTAATTTCAAAATTATTACCATATACAGTTAATTTAAAGAATTTATATTATTTTAAAATTTTTGGCTATTCCTTTTGTCAAAAATCTAACGGTTTTTGGTGAGTTTCCGACATTTCATTTACGTCACTGTTTCCGACGAATCATCTCTGAATATCTTCAAATATCTCGAAAAATTGCCCATGGTCGGAATATACACACAATAGAATACACATTTTAATTTTTGTAATTTTTCACACAAAAGTCAGGGTCCATTTGCCCCGCTTTTCATTCGTTCATTCATTGACCCCTTCACCATGTAAAAATTCGATGTTTGACCAAATTTGCGGTCTCTGGAGCGACCAGAATATCAGAAAAAATTAATGTTTTTGATGCATTTCATCCCCTAAATATTAAACGATCTTTACCAAAGGACCAGAGGACCTTTGTGCGTATGACTACTGGTATAAATCATACGCACTGTTGACTTCGGTATCTTTTTAGATAAGGCCAAGAACTAGAGGTCTTGAAGACAGTTTAATATTAAGGGGTCCTTTATAGTTTTACGATTCCATTATTTTTTGTGTAAACAAATTATAAGGAAGTAAGGTTCAATTGCCTACTGCAGAAACGAATTTCTCTGGAATAGATATTCTACTATTATCTATGAAACATCCCTATGCAGAAGGAGTTCATTATTTTCTATAGAAGAAATATTTTTTCAAGCTAATAAAAAAACAGTAAGGAAATATCTTATAAATGATCGGTCGAAAATATATATAGGAGCTATATCTAAATCTGAGCCGATAGTAACTTCAGTACGTTGTGGAAAATGTTGTGCTAATCGAACCCACCTGGGGAGTTTCTTGCAGCATTTATATCTAACTTCTCGGTTATACTAACTTCAAAAATGCAAAATTTTGTGTAATTATACCCTACACAACTATGTTGTCAGGGTATTATAGCTTTGTGCAACCCCAAAAGTTTGTAACGCCGCGAAATATTGGTCCTAGACCCACATTTAAGTATACCGATCGTCATATTTCTACTAGCTGAGTCGATCTCGACATGTGTGTCCGTCCGTCTGTCCATTATAATTTGTAAACACGATACAGGCCACAGTTATGGACCAATCTTCACGAAATTTTGTATGAAGGATGGGTTCTGGCCAATGAAGACCCCTATTGTTTTTGCTCCAGATGCCGTACTTATGACCCAAACACCGCATGCTTGTTTTGATAAACATCGTTCAATATTTAGCGGGTCAACTGGACCCTGACTTTTGTGTGAAAAATTACAAAATTTATATTCTATGGAGTACATATTTGCAACTAAAGGTCCTAGACCCGAAAAGTTGATAGTATGTTCAAGAGGAGTGGTTGACCTTTAAATTGATACCTATTATATTGTCGTGTGTACTCGGATGCGGGACTTACACATACATATTTACAGGTGCTTACGTATTCATATATTATTTAGTAACCCATTACCACACTAGAGGGCGGAAATATAGCGCTGATCGCTTTGAAATTTTCCATGAGGTTCAAGTTATGGTCACAGACAACGCCTATAATTTTCGGCGATGATCAGATAATAATTTTGGGATGAAATGTACCGAAAACTTATTTTTTGTTTTTTTTTTTCGAGTCGATCTAAAGGCCAAAATTGAAAGCCGAACATCACAACACAACCCACGGTGAAGGGACGGCCCCGTCCGATTATATTGCTCCGCTCATTGGTTTTTTGTAAAATCCGACGAAAATATATATGTAGATGCTATATTTAAATATGAACCGATTTCAGATTTAAATTTACCAGACAAAATAAATATTAACTACAGTTCATTGTACAAAATCGGACAAGTTTCGGGTCTTTAGTCCATAATTTACATAAAATCAGAAGAAAATATATATAGGAGCTATATCTAAATCTTAACCCATTATCAGGAAACATAGTACACATATTTCTAGACTTTATTCAGTACGCTAT